GAGAAAATAAAGAAAAGGAGAAATGAACAACAAAGTGGTGAATGAGTTGCAATTTTAAGTGGAGTGGACAAGAAAGGACTCAGGGAGGTGAGTAAGGGAGTGATCCATGTGGATATCCGTGGGAAGAGAATTCTTTGTAGAGGGAATAACAAGTTGAAGGGCCCTTGCAGGGATGGAGAGCAAGCCTAAGGAGGGTAAAAAGGCCAGGATGGCTTGGTTGTTGGAGTATAGGGAAGATGAAGGATATGAGGTCAGAGAGATGATGAGGTGGGAGTATACTGCCTTCTAGGCGATTGTAAGGGCTTCTTTTATTCTGAGAGGATTAGGAAGCCATTGGCAGGTTCTGAGTACAGAAGTGACCTGGTCTTAGTTTGAGGACAAGGGGAGAGACAGGGAGATGAGCTATGATGCTATTGCAATGATCCAGGAAACTGTTTACGCTGACTCAGACCAGTAACAGCAGTGGGCCCGGTTGAACCTATAGGTAGAGCTGATAAACTTGTGGACAGACTGGATCGGAAGAGAGCACAACAGGAGTCAAGGATGGCTCCAAGGTTTTGGGCCTGTGTGACTTGGAAAGATGGAGTTGCTATTCATTGTGATGGGGAGACTAAGAGGAGCAGGCTTGGGGTAAAGTATAAGGAACTGGCTTGGATATGTTCATTCGGAGGGTCTGCTGTGCAGAAGAGAGAGGGCTGGGCTAGAGATAAATTCAGGGGTCATCAATGAGTGGCTGGTAATGAAGCTGTGAGATTAAATTCTCTAACCATTTAAAATGAGGATTGCGCAGGAACCGGTTTGGCTCAGTGGATAGAGCGTCAGCCTGCGGACTGAAGGGTCCCAGGTTCGATTCCGGTCAAGGGCATGTACCTGGGTTGCGGGCACATCCCTCAGTAGGGGATGTGCAGGAGGCAGCTGATAGGATGTTTCTCTCTCATCGATGTTTCTAACTCTCTGTCTCTCTCCCTTCCTCTCTGTAAAAAATCAATAAAATATATTTTTAAAAAAAATAAATAAAATGAGGATTGGGGTCTGGAGCTTGACTCCAAGGTCAAGCTCCTTTCAAGATGCTATGTTGCTTCTCACA